GCCTTTCTGTTTTTCTTGCTCATTGCTGGTAAGACCAAACCAGGTCAGGCTCAGATTGGCCTGTGGGGCATAAAGAGTTTGTTCTTCTATGAGTCTTCCTGAGCCACTCAAGAAAAAATACCCCTCCTGCAGCATTATTTTCTATTGCCCACAAGCACAGGAGTTATACCAGTCAGCAAAAGGGGTCACAAAATGGGAAGAGGATTAGATTGAGACAGTAAGTAGAGTGAGGTAGCATGGAAGAGAGTCTAAATCCCTCTGGAACTCACGGATCTTCCCATATGTTCTTGAGCCACAGCCATCTTTGTGCACACAATACTCAGAGGCCCTTCTTTACTCACTTCTCTGGAATTCCCAGCCTCCTTGTTTGACACAAGAAAAGTATTTCAAAATTCAGCTGTAAAGTGATGTTCATAAAATAGTAGGATTCCACACAAGTGTTTGCTTTGCTTGTGTCATAATGGGCTCTCTCAGGGCCCCTCTTTCTCATCAAAGTGGAGAATCTGAGTATGTCTTCTTATATTGTATTTCATTTTTATACATCTTAACAATGTTCTTGCTTTCTCAAAGATGCAACACATTAAACAAAGATTGGCGTTGAGCTGTCCATGGCATTCAAGGCTTTTAATTTCATTCATAGAAAAAGAAAAGTGGGTTAGTATCAGGAACAGCCAAAATCCTACATTAGTCACTGATGTAACTGCTAACTGTGTTCAATCCCATATGTGTGGAAATTGAACAGAAGAGCCTGCCACTGCATAAATTATCCAGTTGGTTGAAGGTGTGCTTTAAGTTAATTCCTTTTGCAACCAACTTGGTAGTTGAATGTCGTGGTTAGCTAGGATAAAGTCTAATGTTTAATCCCTGTTAAGCAGGTTAGTGTATAACTACAGTTTTGTTGATGAGAGAATATCACCGGTTTATATATATAACCAGTCAGCCAATCTGATTTCCTGTAATTCAGAGAATGTTGTTCCCTAGCTCTGGTTGTTAATCATTGAAAATGAGCGATGCACAGTACATCCCAGAAGTTCTTTTTATTCTAAAGTCAACAGAGGACATGCTACTTTGTATGTGTGTTTAAATGCTGTTCCCCAGAATGCTCTTCCTACTTACAGTTATGTCTGTGGTCTGGGAATATACAGAACAGGCTGAACATGTTTAGCAACATTACCAAATTCTTTTTTGCTTGTTTTTCAAGCTAGAATTGTTAATAGTTCTTCCTACATTTTGCTGGGGAGTAAATGAACAGTGCAGGTTATTTTTAATAGTAAAAAACTAGCAATAGCTGGAAGGGCTGTGCGAAGCTTTGGTAGCTGATTTGATTCTGAAGAAATTTGGCCCAAATCAGGGACCAAATCTCCAAATCGAATTGGAGCAATTAAAAGCTCTGAATCAATTTGAAGCATCCGAATCAATTCAGAAAAGCTTTGGAAAAGATTTGGCTGCTTCAGAGATTCAGCCACATACTAAACAGGCAGCTGACACACTTGCCTTCAGCTGGTAAGTCTGTTGGACTTGGGGGGGAATTGGGACTTGGACAAGCTGCCCAGCTGAGGCAGAGGGGACACATTACTCAAGAAGGAGGGAGTGGGGGAGTGGGATGCAGGCACAGCAGCGCTCAGATTGGGGGCTCTCCCCTGCTCCTGCCCGGAGAGCTGTGCCTGCATCAAGCCTCTCACCCTGCCCCCCACACCAGCTGGGCAAGCAGCAGCAGGGCATACCCCGCCATGGTTACCTCCATCGGGGCAGAGGCAGGCACAGCTGGAGGAGCCACGGGAGAAGCCCCCATGGCTGCCCTGCCCGGCCCCAGCCTCCCGGCACTTTAAAAAAAAAAAAATAGCTGGGTCTGGCAGCAGCGATTAGGGCCTCTGAGGGCTCATGGAGGAGCCCCCCTTCCCCACACAGCATGGAGAAGTGGGGGGCAGAGGGGATTGCCCCCCCACACACACTTGGCATCCACATAGCAGCTGCCCCATGGCGTGGCTGCAGTGCGCCTCGGCAGGGCACTGCTTACTGTCTGGAAGCTGGGGTGACTCCACACATCAGCCAGAGTGGTCCCAGCTCCAAGAGAGCACGCAGCACCCTGCCGAGCCATGCTGCACCCACGTGATGCAACAGCTGCTGCACAGGTGTCAGGCAGGGGGTGGTGATCCCTGCTGCCCCCCTACTACCCTGCGCTGCACAGGGGGGCTCTGCCACAAGCACCCAGAGGCCTTGCTTGCCTCTGCTGCAGCCAGTGAATACAGGGTTTTTAAAAAAAAATTTAAGTTCCAGGACTAGGCTGGGGCCAGGCAGGGGATGGTGCTAGGCAGGGCAGCCATGAGGGCTTCTCCCACGGCTCCCTCCACCTGGACAGCGGCAGGCACAGCCAGAGGAGCTACAGGAGAACCTGCAGCCGCCTGGCTATGCTGCCTCTCCCCAGCCGATCTGAATCGCCGAATCCAAATCAGCACTGAATCTTCCAAAGCCAATTTGGCTGAATTGATTCGGGACAGTGATCGAAATCTCTGAATGGAATCAGTGTCCTCCATATCAGCTGAATCCAAATCCGAATCAAATGCTTCCCTGTTCGCACAGGCCTAATAGCTAGGTAGAGGGGCAAACGGACATAATTTCTTCCACAGGTGAGTCATCCTTTCAGTGATTATCTACCATATTAGGAAGGGGGAAAATCTGCACAGTGTCAAAGTACTGCATATTTTTCCCCTTCCCATTATGGTGGATAATCATTGAAAGGATAATCACTATGGAAGAAATGATGTGCATTTGGTAGAGGGATTTGAACGTGAAGAAGCTGGCTCCCTTTAAAACCAATTGGGGCCACTGATACCGAAAGTTACACTTTTCAGCCTGAATAGTTTGACCATTCTGATAAAATAATTACATTTTTCTGTGTAGTTTTAGATGACCTGGACAACCAGCTGGCACAAGAACAAGTCCAAGATCCAGTGAACAGGACGACTTCAGTGAATGTTGAATCAATTGTACAATGCAGTAAGCCATTACCTGCCACAAGCAGACAAACTCATAGTAGGGGACGACATAGAAATGACTGCAGTGGAACGGCCAACTTGTTTTTCCTTGATGGGATGAGAACAGTAAGAGCCAAAGATGAACATAATATTTTCTGCAGAACAAGGAGGTTGCACGATACATACATAAACAGGCAACACACAGCCTCTACAGAGGATTATATGCACAGTGATTCATTTGACTTAAATTCCCCTGTTTTGAACAGAAGGCTGTCTTCTCCATCTTTTGGACAGTCTTCGGAAGGCAGCTTACATCTTCCTTCCATAACACGGAGCAGTGGATTTGTACACCAGGGTTATATAGACAAGGACACAGTTGGCAGAAGTTACTCTCTCTGTTCTCTCATGAGATGCCCATCCTTTGGCTCCTCAGATCAGTTCTCAACAAATAGTTTACAACATCCATTGGTAATGGATAACAGTGGCTTTGTACGAAGAAACAGTCGACAAAACCCAAAACGAATTCCTCTGTCTTCTATAGAATGGAACAAGCCATATTTTTCTGAACACCCAGTAAATCAAGACAGACTTTTTAAGACCCAATCGTTAATTGAATTTAATTCCACTCATCGTGGTATGCATCCCAGCCCTCCACAGGAAAGAAGAAAATACGAACTTTCCCATTCAAAACACCATTACAGAAGTGATTTATCAAGTACTAATTGGTTTAGTAGGATGAGTTGCCCTGACACAGCTTCTGCTCCATTGTACTTTGAAAATTGGGAGAATTATCCGTTCTGGTGCTCAGAAAATAACCTCCCTAGGTATCATTATAGCGATATTACTTGTCATGGGAGGTTGCAAATGCACCAAGATAGTACTCCTCGTGGAAGTAGAGAGAGGCATCCTTCATGGTCTGATATTCACCAGTACTACAATGAGGATGCTTTTCTTTCCCCTGAAGCTGACTTTGACATTATTACAACCCATTTCAATCTCCTGCAAAATGTACATGCAAAGAATGCTGCACCATCATCACCATTTGTTTCACAGCACCATCAGAGCAACTTTCAGACACAGTCCATGAATAACATGGAAGTATTAAAGGGTGCAAATGCTAAAGTGCTTCCAGAGTTTACAAGAGATCTTAAACCCTGTTTCACATATAACCCTGCAATTTCTTTGTCTGACATCAAAACAGATGCTTCTCATGAATCTTTCTACCTTGGTTTCAGGGACCAAACAAAACCCATAAAACAGAATAGTGATTCTGTCACTGAGATTTATCAGAACCAGCCAAAGCCTAGGGTTATCCCAGCAAATATTAAGAAATACTTTAAAAAAACTGCTTCAGAAAAGGAGAGAAGTATGAAACTATCAGGGGAGGCAAACCAGGAAAATAGTAAAATGACATCATTGCAGCCAGATTCTCAGCAAATAGATACAAATAGCACTGATTCCCAATTTCTTCCCTCTCATAACTCTGCTGTTGCTACCTTGCAAAACGGCACCTCTCTTCTTAATTTACCTTTTGCAGTGAGATCAAGGAGAAAACCCCACATCACTGCCAGAAGAAGAGATATTGCGAAAATGTATGTGTCAAGCAATAATAAAAGAAATGTGCAAACAAAGGAAAATGATCACCCTGCTAACAGTGGATTTAATCAAACCCCTTCTCTTCTATCAGCTGATGAGAACAAAAAGGAATTGTTTTTTCCGAATCAAAAAAAATGGGAACATAATTTCCATAGCTTAACAAAAACAAAAAGTATTGAATTAGAAAGCCAGAGAGCAGAAACGACTAATCAGACTGGTCCTAAGAGACAGTCTTTACTGGTAGCTGATCTGCAGAGTAATGCATCAGTCCATTCTGTTCCAATTACTGGAAGACTGGCAGAGCACCAAAGCAAGTTGTCTGGTACTCCACAACGTTCTGGTTTATTAAAAGGCTTTTCTTCTAAGAGTTCTTCTCAATGTTTAGGAACTCCTACTAATTCTTCATTGAACTGCATTGTTACTGAAGCTCCAGCAGAAGGTGGGAAAGTTGCTCAGTTAAGTGCTGTAAGTCTTGGAAAAGAAACCCTGCAGGAAAAAAGCCAAGATGTAAATGTAGCTAATGAGGACCATAATAAAAAAATAACTACCAGTTGTCCTGAGAACAGAAATTCTGAGCATATTTATGCATGCTGTTCTGACGGACCCAAGATCACTAAACATGGTTTACATTCTTTTTGCCAGAAAAAAGAAAATGACAAAACAAGAGAAAATGCTTCTTGCACTGAAAGTCTCAACAAGCCAGAAGACCTACCGAGACCTACAACTAACAGTGGAATTACTGGCTCCCCTGATAAAAACAAATCCACATCTTCTGTGCCACTTGTAGCTTACTACACCTTACCTAGAAGATCAGCTAGCATTGCTGGCGGTGTCATATCAGCTAAGTTGGTGTCTAACCCTAAAAGTGAAGTCCCATTCAAAAGTGAAATCACCATGTGGGATCCTTTAGAGACTTCAGACAGAACTGATGCCTTTTCTCCTAATCAAGGAGGGAAAATCTCTTCTTTAGATTCAGCACAAGCCTCTCAAACTGCATCCCCTTTCCATGGCGTTGCAAACATCAAAGGGCATCAAATTGAGGATTACCCTTTGCCTTTAACCCAGCAGTTTAACCACCCCTTATGTAATAGTGCAGCTGTCTCCAGTTCAAATGAACTTACAGGTAGAGCTGCAGGTCTGAACAGAAGGGAATCCTCTGTATTTCTAGAGAGTCTAGACAAAGAAACAATAAATTCTTTACAAAAATATAAAACTACTAGCACATTTACAGTTTGTGTTGATGAGGATAATGTCAAATATCATGAACTAGTTTCAGTTTATTACACATTACCACGCAGGCATTCAAGAACATTGTGTAACCTCTTTCAAGACAATGCAGAGAACACTGATTTACCACTTCACTTGGAAAAATTTCAGTGGCCAAAAATGTCAAAGAAGAAATCTGAAGCCCACATTGGTTTAGCAAATGTAGCTTTTCCTAGCACCTTAGAAAAAGAGGAACCATCCCATTCTCCAGCTCAAATACCTCCAGCTTCAGTGACTCCCCAGAACTTAAAGACTGCTGCTGGCAGTGCTAAATTAAGCTCACAGTTATCTCCCAGCCCTCAGGAAACAGGTACTTTACCATCCACAAGCTTTGTATGTAACATGAAAGATAGTTCACCAGAGCTTTCATTAAAAGACAGTACTCTTGTACCTTCTGATATAGTTACAACAGATGTTTCTCTTGGTGATCCACAATCCATAATAGCAGATAATTCAGTTCAGGCCATTTCTGATGTTTCATGCAACCAAAATACTGGACCATGTCTTTCTTCAGTTAATGAAAAAGATAAACTTTTTCAAACTGGCACACAAATAACTCCCATTTCATTAAAACCAGAAAGCATTCCAGAAAATTTGTTTTATCCTGTTTCTTCAGTTAATAATGCTAACAGTGTACAGAAGGAACACTCTGAAAATTTCCTGCAATCTCTTAAAGTAAGTGGAGGTGATCAGAATATGTTACTGCCCTGTTCAATAGACAATAGTTCCCATGAAGAAAAACACAATGTAGAACATGTAGCCACTGAAGTACCAATTACCCCTGCTGAAAGTAAATCTAGGTTTGATGCAGAAGTCCGAGGAGGAGCATATCTTCCACATACCATCACTTCCCTGCATGGTAATAAAGGTGGTGGATTTCCATTAACAGCTGACAATTCCAGAAACAGCACAGATGAAAATTTAATCTCTGATGATAAGATGCTTTTAGATTTGCTGAACAAAACATTTCAGTTAGGCACAGCTTGTCCAGCTAAACCAATATTGCAGCCAGACAAAACTGGCATAACTGCTATGAATGAGATAGAGAGCCCAACAATAAAAGAAAAGCTGTTCCAGCATACACAGATGGACAAAGATTGCACTGGCCCGCAGAAACCAGTGAAGCACTATGAAGATAACTGGAGTGTTGACTCTAAAGACAAGTTCTTCCTTATTTCACAAGATCTTCAACTGCCAGACAACTCAGTAAGTGAAGATAAGCTTCCCTCTGATAGCACAAAAGACAGACTCAGTGATATAGAAAAAAGGAAAAACAGACCTTCAGTTAAAAATAAACTGACAGCCATCTGCAAAATGAGCCGAAAATACTCTAGTAAAAATTTACCTCCCAAACCAAACATAAGTAATATCTTTTCACAGAATGATGGAGATGCTGCTCCTTTAGAGATTAGCATGTCCAAGAGTACATCAGTTTCAGCTGATTCCACCCTGTCGTTTCTGCAAACTGGGAATGAGATCAAGAATCAAAACCTAACCCCTCCTGCCATGAACGTCTCTGTGCACAAAATAATTGAGAGTAAAAGATCACAGGCTGATGAAGATCTTTCACTGGTTACTAAGAACAACAATCAGAAAACACTCACAGAGTCATGCAGGCAGAGAGGAGAAGCTGGTTCTCCTAAACAAAATAAGAATAAAGTGGAAAGTGTGTTAAGCCCAACAACCCTATTACCAGAGGAAATAATGGTTGCCAGAAGTAAAAATTTCCAAGCATCTAGTTCTGTGTTTGAAAACAGAAATAAACCTGTCTTCTCCACCAGCACTGCAGCGGACTCATTAGACAATCAAAACAGAACAGATACCAGTAAGTCTCACCATCCCCCATTGTTGCCAGTTTTACCTGACACAAACTCAAACAGTTTTATAAATAACTACTTACAGGCAAATATCTGTCTGCAGCAAAAGGTGGTTTCCCCATGTGAGAGGAATCACAAGTGGAACCGCCACCAGTCAAGCAGTTTAAAAAATGTGAACTTACACAGTGACCAGTTGCGCATGAGTCGAGCAAGGAATCAACGTGAACGTCACTTTTCTGAATGCACCTATGCACAAGATCCTCAGGACAGCCTGGCCTCTGCTGGCTGTTCTGCTGATTTTATGCCTACAGGTAGCAGAAGCAGTAGAAAGTTTAAATCGTATTCAGAGCTGTTGTCTTCTGATGAAAATGAAAACTGGGCTTCGTCCAATGAGAGAAACAGAGCTGTTGGCACTAGGCGTTTCAGGTATCCCTCTGTTGAGTATGGTATATTTGGAAAAGAGCAACAACTGGCTTTCCTGGAAAATGTCAAGAGATCACTCACAGAAGGACGATTATGGAGACCCTGCCTTCTTAAAAACACTAGCTTTGTGAGGGATGAAGAAAGTCACTCTTTAAATCGGTCTGAGCTCTTGAACTTAAGTTTTGCTGGGAGCAAAATGTTAGTAGATGGCTCAAACCCCAGAGAGCTACTTGGCGTCTATCGGGAAGATGCAATGGCCTGTTCAGACTCGGATACCAATACCACCACGGACGATGAATACTACCTGGATGAGAATGACAAAGAGTCAGAATTGTGAGCTCTTGTGATAAAAGATGGAGAATGAGGCTCTGGTGTGTTTTGCTGTTTGCAAGGGTATTTTGGTGGTTTCCTGCCTGGTTATAAGCATGTAAAATAGTTTGAATCAGATCCTGTGATGGTATAAATCACTGCAGTTCTATTGACTTTGGTTAACTGATGTTGATTTCTCTTTTTTTCTCTTTTTTAACCTGTATTAAAATAGTAATACTGTAGCCTAACCATAATTGTTCATGCAAGCAAAAACCAAATTCTCACTATTTTTTTATTATATATTTGCAAAGCATGGGAAGATAGTTGTGGAGCCTTTTATAATAATCAAATACCAGAGAAGGCTTTGCTTCTCAGTGGGAGTTTGACTGGGCTCTTACTGGTTAGTGGTACAGTGTGATAATGCAGGGCTGTCCAACTTTGAAGTAGCTGGAGGCCAAGTACCCCATGGGCTGCACCAGCTTAGGTGGCATGCCTGTGGGCCCCACCAGAGCAAGCCGTAGGCATGCCTATGCCACATGCTCCCCCTACCTCTGCTGTACTACATGGCTCCTCCTCATGCACCATCCTCCACTGCTGCATCGGGCACCTATGTGGCCTCAGGGTCGTCTACAGCTTCTCGGACCATGCTGTGCTGCACTGCCCACTACTTTTCATCCTTTGGGTAGAAGGGCGATTGGTGTTTTTCCTAGAGTTGTTCCTATGCCATTATAAGAAATATAGTAACATTGGCATTTCACAATAGCCAAAATCCATCCCTGGCCCTGAAATCTTTTAAATAAGTTTTGATCTCTTGTTACTAAAAACCACAATGGCTCACTTGAGTCGAAAGCTAATTTTTAAATTAACCATAAAAAAGTTTCTCTTTGCCTTTGATTGTTTTTACAGCTAACCTCAAGTTTATCTGATTCCAGATTTTTTTCTATATTTTTAATTAAATTTGTCTAAAACATAACTGTATTTTTGTAACTGGAAAATATCCTGATATTTTAAAATAATTTATTTTAGGTAAAGTAAGTGACACTTGCATCACTGAATACTCAACAGAACCAACAGAAGGATAAAATGAAAAATAACAATTGGTATGCTTATTTTTCTATATTGTATACTTCGTTAAAGAAGTGGAGCCTTAATCTGAATGTGTGATGTATAAATATTACTGCTTTTACTTTGATATGTTATTTTATTGTACATACTATTAATATAAACTGTATATTTATATTCAGAATTATTCTTCATGTGGGAATCTGTTATGGAAGGATTCAAACATACATTAATATATACAGTATTGGAAAGAAATAATTACCATGTAAGTGTAAACTTATAAAATTTGCTGCTTTGTTGAGAAATGCTACATCAGTTTTAATGTAAATAGTTCTGTACCAGATAAACCATATTCTGTTAAACCACTTCATATTCGGTAAAGATTTTTGGTTGTGATACAGTGTTGAAACGTTAGCCCATAGTGGGGGATATCACCCTGCATAGATAGGGCGCCGGTGTCTACCAAACTTGAGGAGACAGCCAGCCGATTTCACAGGCAGATCTCAGGGCCAGCCACCATTTTCACCGGCTGAGCACAACAGGGCTCTGATTGCCCAAGTGGCCCTGGCAGTCCTGCTCCTTCCTGCAGATTGCCACATGGAGCAAAACCATGTCTTAATTATCCTGATTATGCTCAGGGAAGCCATTAATCCATATTATTAAGTGTGGATTAATGATTTCCCTGGGCTTAATCAGGGTAATTAAGGTGCAGTTGCAGGCCATGCCAAGTGGCAGGTTCCACGCTTTTGGTGGCCTTGCTGCAAAAAAATAAACAATCTTGCTGGCAAGCAAAGCATGAAGAAGCCCTGCAGTCTTGGAGCATGGGGAAAGCAGGGCTGGGGAGCAGCCCCCTGCCCTCCCCGCTCTGCCTTCCCCCTGTGCTCCAAATCTAGGGCTTCCTGCACACTGTTCTCTGCTTCCTGGTAAGTTTCTGTATTTATTTTTTGCAGTAAGCCCGCTCAAAATCACAGTTTCCACAAAAATCACACAATTATGATTTCGGTAGGCCCCTATACAGAGATTAAACAGCAGAATCAATGTTTACAGGGAAATAGTCATATAACTTTTGCTCTACCAGGAGTGGATTTTTTTAATGCTTATACTTTGTAAATGTTTTCTATCTGTACAGATTTGGGAGTAAAGGTCTTACCCTGGATATGGAAGGTAGACTTTTAATAACTAGAATGCTGTATGTGTGACCTAAGCAGGAGCCAAACAAAACAGAATATTTTACGATTCTAAATAGTCTCATGTGGTGGCTTGTCGGTGGCTGAAAGTAATGTTTATATATGATGGGGTTATTTTGGTAAAGTGTACATGGCATTCTGTGGCTAGAACATATTCTGTAAATGCTTATAATTTATAGAATGTAAATACTGAAAATGGCTGGTTTGAAATAAATGGCACTTGGTGCATAATAAATGCTTTTATACTGTGTTTACTTTGCTCCCTGTGAATGCCCCCAAAACATACATAAATAGAGAAAATTAAAGCACATGTTAATGTGTTGTTGTAGAACACCAGTGACGAGCAGCACAAATATCACATTTCAAAGGTTTAGGACTGGGCGTGCAACCTTGATGTCATGCAGCTCCAGGCATGTCCACAGATGCATTACAAGAGATGATTAACACCGACTCCACCAGCTTTCAGACATGTACGGAGGGGAAAGACCGACCTGAATCCTTTAACTGCCAGGATACTGGCTGTCAGTGCAGTTAGGGTGAGATCCAGGCAGACACCTTAGGCACCTGAAACAATACGTAAGTGGATAAAAAAAATCCAGAAAACTTCTGTTCAGTGACTCACCCTGAATGTGGCTATATTCATCCATACCTACTTTGGGACCACCAAGTTCCCTAGTGCATAAACCTGGGCTCCTGCCACTTGAGCACCCTGGTTTCATTAGGTATGTAATTCCCAGCTAAGTTCTGTTGTGATTCAGATATAAGGCAGAGCATTGCCTAAACACCGTCTAATAATCAAAGGGAGCCCAATCCATCAGGGATGTATTAAACATACCAAAACAGCACTGAGCTTAGTACAAAACATAGCAGCCCTTTCACTGAGGGGAGGGGAGGGTGTGGTGGTAGTGATGACGTCCCAGTTTAGTATAATAGACTGCTGCTCAGAGTATTTGCCCGTGTAGTGGAAGACCTAAATGTTACCCCCTACAACCTGAAGGCACTCAAACCAGTATCTACTTCCCGAAGAGACTAAAACCCACTTCAGAATAGTTCCAATCTGGAATGCTTGAATTTCACTGCTGAAATCAAGCAATGGCCACCCGCCAAGAGTGACCTAACAGTTGTGATGCTGCAACAGGAAAGGGAAATGGGGGAAAAAACAAGTCTGGTATAGCAAAATAAATGTCATAACTTTGGGAAAAAAGAAAATTGTGTGTAGCAAAATAAATTTATTTATTGCCATATATTTAAAATGGTAAGAACATGAATAAACAAGAAAAGTCCATCGCAGAAGGTTAGAGGACTGCTTTAATCCGAGTCCCTGGTGGTGGGTCACTGTGGTTAAATGCAGGACTGCAGATGTGTGCGCTCCTAAAACAATATTAAAATTTGCACGTCCAAGAAACCCTAGATTTATCCATATCAAAACAATGTAACTGCCAATGAAAATGCTGTTTCTTATGAATGACGTACAGTGCAAGCACTCACGTATGCATCATAAAAAAAAGTTTTTCCTGAACTACAGTGCTGGACAGGCTGGCTATAGTTACCAAGGTCCAAGGGCATTGCGGATTCAGACACAGCTGCACTATATATGTCATTTAGTCATCACTGAGTCTTCTGGCTGAGGTCTGACTGGGAAAAATGATCATTTTCTGAAAAGGGCACTGGCAATTTGTTTCAATGACAGCTCAGAAAGGAAAAAAAGAAAAGATATGTCAAACAGTCTACACCGATTGATTTGAAACCACAAAAAAAGACACCCATTCACTGAATAATCTGTGGTTCTTATGTTTGTGACAGGCCATGTTCCTTGGAGGACTGCCGGGAGTCTGCTCTGATACTGATTTAGTCTGCCAGTAGAGGGTGGGGGAAATCTTTTTTCCTTGCAAGATCTATACAAATTCTCACCCACCTTCTCTTTTGAAGGGGCTGTATGTTAAATTTCAGTACATAATATCTGTAAAGTTGTCTTTTCAACAGGGGTTTTCCTTTTTGCAGCCCAGACCACCAGCACATGGGATGGGAACTTAGCCCAGCTGGGCTGACTTCCCATTCCCAGCCCAATCGCAGGGCTGGGGAGGGGAACTGAGCTATCGGGCTCAGTTTCTTTCCCCAGCCTGATCACAGCCTGCTTCCCCTGTGCTCTGATTGGCTTTCTGCAGCCCAGTGGTAGAAGATGGAGAGAGCCAGGGCTGCGCTCCTGCCTGCTGCTGGGAGCACAGCCCTGGTTCTCCCCTGTCTCCCACCACCTCACTGCTGGCTGCTTCGAGACTTGAAACATTTTGAAACTTTTGAAGTGTTTCAACTTGCCCCATTTTGTTTTGAGGCTGTTTCAAAGCCCTTTGTTTCGATTCGATTTCGCTGTTTTGAGCTCAAAATGAGTCAAAACAGTGTCAAATTGGAACAGCCGAGGAAATTTTACACAGCCCTAGTGCCTGCCTTAGTCCTTGTTGCTCTGTGCCAGGGGCTGCTCTGTCATCCTGCTACTGTAGCTTTTGTTTACCCTTACTGCAAATTTCACTGGTCCCTGCTGCCATTGGGGATGGAAATTGGTGGTGCCTAGGAGGATAAGCAGAGGCTGCAGTAGGAGATGTAGGAATGAGAGTAGCTCCTGACATGGAGAAGTGGGGGCTGGGGTGCTGTGGAAGACCATAGTGGCAGCCACGTCACAAGCAGCAGCCCACTGTACTTGAATGTTGCTGACCCCTCCTCTGCAGCATTGCACCAGGACTTCACCTGCCATGACCCCTTGGCCCTTTTCAGCATCACTGTGTTTCATAGTTTAATCCCCACCATAGTTTTAAATGTGACCTGTATTTTTTGTTTTTAGATATACGTTTCAACATTTGGCTGTATTAATAAGTATGTTGCTAAAACAAGCCCATCTTATCAAGTGATCTAGGTCAGTTTAACCAGTCTGTCCCCATCTGTCCCTTCTACACAGATTACCAGCAGTGATTTATTTACATTTGCGTAGAACCTTCCCGTCAGATTCCTTCCCCGCTGTTCCTCTGCGCACACCAGGGATTTTCAGCTGGGGTCCCATGACACCCTGGGGTGCTTTACAACCTTTTAAGGATGCTGCACAATAGTAGCACTGTTAGGTATGCAAACACCTACACACAGTTCATGAGATTTCAAACAGGAATCCATACTGTCAAAAACATTCTGCCCTGTTGTGGTCTTTCTGAGTTGTTTGCAAGAGAAAAAAATGTTCTATTACTTTTTCATAGTCAAAAAATAAGAACATAAGAATTGCCATTTATTGGATCAGGCCATAGGTTCATCTTGTCTAGTCTCCTGTATCACACAGGGGTAGAAATGGATGGAGTGAACAGGGTATGACCAAGTTTTTTTCCACTGTTCCTTTCCTACTTGCAACCTCCAGCATTTAAGGGCCTGGAAGGGTTGGAAAAGCAAGAGCTGGTATTTTGAAGCCCTGAGACTAAAGGGGATTCCTTGAGTATGACGAGGTTAAGAACCACTAGTTTAGTGCTTAATGTCTGACAATGTCAGACTTGGTGTTGTATACATCACATTAGGAAATGGAATACAAAAAGGTCTGCTTTGTATACATATAGATCACCTTGGTATCTGGAAGGTCAAAACACAGTAGAGTCCATTTGGACAGATTAGAATTTATACTTTGATGTAAATAGAAAATTGCATGATTCATTTTCTTTCTGTATACCGCTCAACGGCAGTGTTAATAAAATTAGTTTGATCTGTTTGTGCCACTAATTAGCATGGCTCATTATTAAAAATCTATCCTTTGTCACATTTTTGGCTGCTAATAGTCAAGTATCTTGTCCAAATGACCCAACTCTGAAAGATGAGGGAATGATTTAGTATTAGTATCTTAATACTAGTTTTAGCATTTTAAAACATTATTCAGTTTCTCTCCAAAATGTTCTGTGCTCGGTTTAAGAACTGAGATACATTGATGATGCAGTGGTGGTAATCTTTCAGCACAAGACACAGCAGATGTCCAGAAGACATCTAGGTTTTCATTCTCTTATCCATGCCTTTCTAATAGCTGGCCCTTTAAATTTGCAAGAAAACCAGCTGCGGCCCAAAGGTGACCATTTTGTATCTGACTTCTGCATGCTGCAACTGTCTTCCCAACAGCTGGCAAGTATTCTTTACTACTATTATATTTTACCCTGGTTTTTCATCTCTTTCCTGAGAAAATGAGTCACCCTTTTAGCTTTAACTTGAAACCGTAATAATAAATCTAGTCCTTGCTTTACAACTTTTCAGTCATTTTCACTGTATTATAACCATTGCACTTTAAGGTAACTCACATTTATCTGTCTCCATTAGTAGGTTACCTGCAGAGATTTGAAATGATGATCAGGAGATCTTGACAGGATCTCTTTCCTCTTAGATATGTTGTTAAAAATATGCAATCAAAATAATTTTTCAGAGTAAATTAATAGATGTACGTGGAGTCGCTTCAAAATTATGCTGGGTAATTCAGAGCAGAATTTTATCGAAGACTAGCATCTCATTTGTTTTTTGTAAGTAACTCTCATAGTAAGGAGTTTCTTTTTTTTTATTTTCTTCTTTTCAGGAAGAGCACAGTTTAAAGTAGTAATCAAAGCACTTTCCCCAAATGAGATTATCCACATGCATGTCCCTAACCCCTTGGATAGGAACAATGGATCATTTCTCATGCAGTATTGCATGTATGCAAGTGTCAATGAAGGATTAAAGATTGAAATACTGTATGGTGATAAACACGTAGCTCAATCTCCTTATATTTTGAAAGGTAAGGGTTTTTTGTTCTTTGTTTGGGTAGTTTTCTATTTTATGCTGACAGCCACGAGAGAAATATTATTCTAGAAATAACTGTAAAATGGTATAAATTTTACATGAAAATTTTCAAAGGAAACAAACATAGTACTGTTCTTATAATATTTTTCAGAACTTTTTGGCTTTGAGGACAAAACAAAAATGTTTTGGCCTCTGAAAAATAAGAAATCTGAGACATTTGTTTTGGTTTTTTTTATCACCAACTCAGAAAATTTAAAAGGATGAGAATTCTTCATGAGACCTTTTATTTAGGAAAACAGCCTGTTTTTGTCAAAATAATTTTTCAAAAGAAACATGCCTATTGGCTCTACGTTTCGATTTGTGTGCAATAGAAGTTTGAGATATTGTCAGTGGAGACCAGAGAAATCAGACAGTCCTGCTGCTTTGTGTTCTGCAGGGCCAGTTTATCATGAGTATTGTGACTGTCCAGAAGGAGATCCTTAAACCTGGCAGAATATTCTGTCATGTCCATCCCAGGAGCCACAGGTTACTAAGGACTTCACTCCATTTCCCACCATTGACCTTCAGCGGATGCTAGAAGTCCCAACAAGATTTGGGAAAGCGAGAGGTGCTATTGTTCACTTCACCATTCCCAGTAATCACATTTACTATCATTCCTTAGGAAAGTACACAGACTTCAAAATGGTCTCCAATGAAATATTACTCTCATTGGCAAGAAAGGTACTATTTATATGAGCGTTTATGTAAAGATTGTTGGATCACAGATTTGTTTCTGTTTGGATGGTATATTCCATCTTCTGTTTTCATACAGACCTTAAACTAGGATATCTACTTTATTATTAAACTAAGATTTTATTCCTTCTGCATCAGCATGACCTCATCTCTTTAGGGAGCAGATTATCAGTGGTGACTGTTCAAAGGCTCACTGAAACCAGTGAGAAAAGTGCAGGTGTTAAGGGCCCAGTTCTGCAAAGCTTCTTGATTTGGAGTCCTGTTGATTTCAATTAGAGCTCTGCGCAGAGAGAGATTGCAGGATTGAACCCAGAACCACCTAATCTTTATCTCGCCTAATCTCGGTCTGTTGGCATGATTGATTTAATCTGTGCAGTTTAGAGAACTGAGGGCAAGATCATAGTGTAATTGTCTTTTTTTTAAATGTACATTTAGGTTCATCTCCCTGATGTAGAGTTTTATCTTAATGTCGGAGATTAGCCAGTTGAGCATCGAAAAGCTAACAACACGCCTGGTCCTAACCTATAATTTCATGGTGTGGCTCTCTGGATTCAAGGGAAGTCGTCCTTCCAACATATGATATAACCCATTCAACACTTGAAACCCTACGCAGAGTTACAACTGATCTCTCTGTTCAAGGAAACACAGGTAAATTGAAATGTGGAGGCTTTATAAGCATTCCCAAAAGATTTAGGAGCTTAACTTAAGGCACTCAGTTCGAAAATTTGTCCTTAACTTTAGTCTTCGGTTACAAACATTAAACATTGTTTAGATTAACTAGATACCTTGTTTGGGTTTGGGAAACAGAAGTTTCTTTTAAGAAAAAACTCTTCCTCTTATGTGTATTGTACTTCACAAAGAACTATATCCTTTCAAAATCATTTTTGACATGTCATATTATTATGAGTACCACTGCAGTTTGTACTGTAATGTTTTTAGAAAATAAGCACTCAAAAAAATAGTTGCTTTGGCTTCTTGACAAATATGTCTATAATCCCTTTCACCTGAGAAAGTGCTCTAGTCTTCCAACTATAAACAGTATTGGTCCAGTTCCTGAGGTAGAATTTGGTAAGTTGTAATTCTTCTTAAATAAAATTGGGAAAATGAATGCATGTCTTGCAAGAGATTAACCTCCACTATGTCTTATAAGTCACCTGCAAATGGAAGAATATTATTTGTAGATAGTTAAAGCATGAAACGCACATTTTATGATTTTGCTGAATTCTGTAAAAAAGGCAAAAAAGAGTGCAATATATTTATTTTCTTTGTAGATTACTGTTAAATGATGAAATTGGTTGTTTAACAAGAGGTATATTATTGCTAAAGGTGGAACAGAATTATGTTTTGGAATATTTAGGTGAACTCTTAAAACAAGTATTTGCTTAATTAGAGACCCTCTTGTGCAGATGTCAAAGCATTTGTACATTTAACATAAAAACCAACAAACATTTTCTTGAAAATGTGTTAAAAGTACAAATAATTGTATTGGTTTCTCATAGATATAGGCCTTAATTATCTTTATAAATTTGTTTTTATGCCAACATTCAGATCAGGGCAGATGTTTGCCCTAGCTGTAAATTTTTCTTTAAGTAACAAGTTCATAATTAGAAATTATGCTGACACCCACTTTCCTATAAGTGTGATAATGAAACGTTCTCAAAATAAACTTGTGTTGCTTACACCTAGTGTAGCATGAACATTTCCAGGCTCCTTTCTTCCCTTATCTCATCAATACTCATAGGCCCTTTTTGGAAAAACAAAACTGAACGAGCTTTATTCAGAGGTCGAGACAGTCGAGAGGAACGTCTAAAACTGGTGAATTTATCTAAGGAGCATCCAGAACTACTAGATGCTGGAATAACAGGATATTTCTTCTTCCAAGAAAAGGAGAAAGAGCTGGGAAAGGCTCAGGTGATGGGATTCTGTGATTTCTTTAAGGTATTCATCATATTGTAGACATGGGTTTGTTTTTGCAGTTAAGTAGTTACCTACTATAAAAAGCAGTGGGTTTCCTTTTTAACTTCAGTGATTAGGTTTTAATATGTGTTGTGCTGTCCTGGAAGTATTTGTCCATTCAAAGTATATGTATATTATCCATACCTACAATGTAATCATTTCTAAAGAATGCCATTATGGGCTATCATTATGGTCCTATCCAGAGCCCAGATTTAGATTTTTGACACACTGCTACTGTGTCAGTTTCTTGTTAGGGGATAAACATGAAAATAATAGGTGCATTTTATATAGATGTAAGGATGGTGTTAAACTTCAGAAAGAGAACCCACAGTAATGGGTAAAACAATATATATTGAACATTCTTAATATAGCTGAATGTGCAGTTTCTTTCAGTGTTGTATCAGCACCAACCAGGCTGAGCAATAGGTAGGAAGAAAATTTGGAATGTCCTCTTCTGCTTTGTTCACATTCAGTGGTCTGCAATCAGTTTCTTGCCATCTGGATCCAGTCTTTGTACTTTTTTCTAATGTTGTTAAACATGATCCACAAAACAGACTAGTGATTTTTCTGTCTTCCAAACAATTTGGGCTATGTTATGTCATTCATTGGATGTTGTGTGGAGCCACATCAAGGTTGAAGGGCTGTGAGATGAGAGAATTTATTCATTCAACTCCTATCTAAAGTCAGTGGGACACGTCTCATTATTAATGCATTGACAGGACTTGGATTGATGATGTCATTAGTAAACAGAATATTGTAAGTACCTTGCATCTTGGGAAATGTGCAGATTAAAACTCTCTCATGTATCAGTACAACTGATCTTGGATATCTGATAGAATGTGAAAGTTTCCAATAGCAGGTTCTTTACAATGTATAGTAATGTTAAATATAGTTTCCATTTTTTTAATCGTATGTTTGCCTTGCAAAATCTAAATTTTGGTTCAGTGGCTCCAGTAGAATGGAAATGGTTCTGCTGATTCCTAGTGAAAAATGAAGGGAGGCCTTCATTTACCAAGTTGCAGGACAGTTGTACATTTCTTGAGGTAAAACTGAAGTCAATTTAATTTTTAAAAACTGAGTTAACTGAGGGTTCTGCTGTAGGGTTATCTCAGAAATGTTACCATATTGCTAAAGAAGATAGTAGGTATTCGTGGATATGTCTGGTGCAATGTTAGTACCATATTTGCTGACATATAACAGTCCCCTCCCCTCTCCTCCCATATATCACACACCCTGGCTTGGGAAGGTGGACTGAAGAAAAAAAAGATTTTTCCTTGAAAATGCCACTAAGTAGTAATTTAATATAACCAGTTATTTAAATGCAAAAAACCTTACAAAGAGTAAGTTATAAAATGCAAAAAACCACACTTGGACTTTGTATATCCCTTAGGTAGCTCATTGCAATATTGTGCCATATCTCTACAACAGAAGCCAGCCTACTGCATCCAGCAAGGGCTGCAAGGGGGTGGGGGAGCCTGTCACTGCTCCATTAACTCTCTGCCCCAAGCTGCTATGTGGCATTGGAGCCTGGCCAGGGACAGAAAGTCTGCTCCTGCTGTCTGACCAGGGTTGCTCTGAGCAAGCAGCAGCTCAGCCAGGGACAGGCTACCTGCCCTCTAACCTAGCTTGTTGTGAGCAGTTTGCAACTCCAGGTCAGGGCAAACTCCCCACAGCAGCTCTGTGGTATGGGCTCTCCAGATGGTGCCCAGAGCTAGTGCTCTGCTCGCTGCTTAGGCTGGCAGCTAGGTGGCATTGCCATATTTCCTCACATATAGTATGCACCCAGATTGCCAGCAGTTGTTTTTTGAAGAAAGGCATGGGTTGTGTGCGAGAAAATATGGCATTATTCTATTTATCTTTTAAGTGAGGATAAACTTAGTCCTCTTAAAATAAGGATTAGCAGTGCAAACTGGCACAAAGTGAGAGCCGCCTCTCCCAGACAGCTCAGCTGTTGTCCTACTTCCAGGCTGCCTTCTAATAGAAGACTCATTATGGAGCCTGGACTGTTTGTGTTGTGGTTTTGTGATGTGGTCTGTGATTTGCTGAAGGGGTATAATGAACTGTTAAGAAGCAAATAATGTCTGAACTTCATGTATACAAACTAGGAAGCTGATACCAACGACCTGAAAAACCTGGGATGAGCAAAGAAATGAAGGCATTTTAACTTTTTTTGGCTTTCCCGTCAGTTTCTAACCCCATGCCTCTTTTTCTGGTATATCAGTGTTGCAGTTCCAAGCACTTATTTACATTGGACCATACCCCTCTAGATTTACTTATTGACTTTTATGGGACTAGTTGGGTAACCAGTGTTTGCCCTGCTTTTACATTGACCTTCACATGATAACATGAAGTAGGTATGTGAAAACATGGTGGCATGCAGGTTACGTAATTTATGTCAAACTGCATAAGAGATCTATGTCAGAGCCATTACAAAACCAAGAAATTTATTATTACTAGTCTTGGGTGGTTCCTCTCTTGTTATTTGCTGTTTTAAGAACATTTTGAAATAGGTGACGGGGGTGGGGGTGTGCTGGTTTTATACTTTTGCATAGGTTTTTATTCTGATGGATGTATCTGTTTGTTTGGTTTCAAAATATTTTTCTTCCTGCTTTTATTTATTTATTTTTCTTTATAGTAGAAGTATCAGGTGAATGCAGATGGCATGGTAGCAGCTTACAGATTTCCATACCTCTTGTTGGGTGATAGCCTAGTACTGAAGCAAGACTCTCAATACTATGAGCACTTCTATATTGCATTAGAACCATGGAAACATTATGTTCCAGTTAAACGAAGACTTAGAGGACTTGCTAGAAAAAATAAAATGGGCTAAGGTAAGTGTTTTTCCAACAAACTTAGGGGAATAAATTGACATGTGTACAAATACTACATCCTTCCTTTTAGACTTCCACATGTATGTTCTGCCTCAACTTTTATTGAGATCCTAGTGGAAAAGGCACACATTTGGCTATTATTATTATTTATTGAACTCAGTCAGAGGTCCCGCTTACATAAATAACCTCATTCAAGAAAGCACATAAGCACAGGCTTAACTTAAGGTACCTGCTTAAGTGTTTTCCTGAATCAGGGTCTTAATATAGAAGTTACTGTAGAATGTATATCAGAGACATTTCCAGATGTGTAAGGATTCCTTTATTTTAAGATGTAATGATCAGGGTAAGGATTTCCCAGGTGATATCTTTTATTGGACCAGCTGTTGGGTAGAGTTAGACAAGCTTTCAAATGCAAGGCATTCTTCATCAGCTCTGAACAGTAAAAGCCAGCACAGCATAGTAAGAAACAGTTTTAAGGGGGTGAGGGGAGAAATTCCTAAGGGTAGCAGACAAACAACTAGGAGAAGGAAAGAATCTGATCATTGGAAGATCAAGGCCTATCAAAAGGGAGGAAGGTCATTCTTATCTTTCATGTGTGGAAAGAATTCAGGAATCAGGTAGGTTTATAATGTATCATAAAACCAGTATCAGTGTTAAGTCCTTATTGTCCCCCCAGCTTATGAATTTTTGTTCCTAAGTTTGCTTTTTAAAGGTGTTGAGCAGATTTTACTTGAGCATGAGGACAATGACATCAGAGAAAGAGTGGTTGTTCTGTGAGAAATACACTCCTAATGATACATGTGTCTGTTTGTGTGACAAGTGGTTTCAGGATAGTTTTGATGAATCCCGATTAGCTTCTCAGTGAAGGTACCAGAGTTGGATATGCTAGGTCTGCCAAGTTACCTTGTTTGTGGATCTTTGGGAACACACAGATGGTTCTTGGGACGGGAGAGTAGAGAATATGTGAGAATAGGTTTTCTTGCAGCTGGTGCAGGAAGGGTTTAATGATATCTTCCAGTTCCAGAGTGAATTCTGGTGTGGGGTCCTCCCTAATTCCTTATAGTTTTTAGTGTCAGAGTAGTCTGTTGGCTTCATGATGGCTGAGGATGACTATCGTTCCACTCTTGTCTGCTCTTTTATTACTATTTCGTTGTTGGATCTTAGGGACTGATCAGGATAGAAGTTATTCCAGACATCTTTCTCACACATACAAAAATAACATTGCTCTGTAACATGCTCCAAATAAGATGGAAGATATCTATAAAGTGTGCCAAACAATATTGTTGTGGCAGTGGAGAACAGAGTTCAGGCTTAAAAGTTTAAACCATGATTAGTTTAAAGAAAACAGAAATTGTTTCAGTCTGAGAGCATAACATCATATATACTCAAATCCAAAACTAGGTCCCTGTTCCCAGTCAGCCTGGGGAGAAGAAAAAGTCTCATCTTGCATTTGAATACTGGTCTGGGTGGGTGGTACCTCAACTCTGGCTTTAGCCCCAGGCTTGGGGTTGAAGCTGGAGCAGAACTGCTGCATGTCTCAGGATCTAAATAGCTCATTTGGTGGAGGAGGGGGCATGCAGCCAGAGGGAGCGCAGGGGAGATTGCAGGATAGGAAGGAACCTGCAACCTGTTTCCCCTACTGCATGCCCCCCTCCCCCCATTCACCTTCTGCTCCAGCTCTGGTCCCTCCAGCCCCAACCCAGTTAGGCTGGGAGCAGCCACTGCTTCTCCCTGGCTGGGCTGGGGCTGGGCCAATGCTGTGCTGCAGAGCAGAGCTGTAGTAGAAGGTAAGGAGGGAGGGTAGGCAGGAATTGGAAGCAAGGGATGGGGCAGACATAGAGAAGGAGGAAGGGGTTAGGGACAAGGGGCAGGGGTCTGGCCCTTCGGCCCCTGCTGCTGCTTTCCCCACCACAGCAATAGAGGGACAGATTTAAGATGACCTTCTACCAGTTAGATTCCACACATGACAAACTGTAACAAATTAACTGGGGGGGTAGTCTTACATTTCAAAGTTATCTTGGATTCAGGTAAATATGGTAATTCTTCATAGAGGACTAAGTGAAAACACTTTTAAATAAAGACCTAAAATGTAAATGCTTGAATACAAGTCTCAACGTACTGTTCATATCACCAGTACACATTCTATTTAAAAATTTCAGAGAATAGTGCTGGAAACCAAAATAGTTTCCTACATATTGCAGAAAAAGAAAACAACTGTAGCTTTGTATTATTCATGACCAAATCTGTGTGAAATATGTAAAATCTGCTTGTGAGTTGTTCTGTGATTTGGACAGCATTGTAGAGCAGCAGCAAACTGATTATCCAAAACTGTACAATGAGCTACAATTTTGTTACTGATAGCCTTAAGCTATTAATGTCTTTGTGACCATGAAAGCATGCTGATAAGTTCCAAAAATTGCGGTTAAATAATGTGCTGTTGCAGTGCATCAGTAATTGTACATAATATTGCAGATCTCATTATGGGGCTGTTGAGAATTTTCATGCAGGAAAAAAAGCAAGCAACTTACTGATTGCTCTATTATTCATTGCTGTTTTCTTTCCAATTTGTCAGGAAAATGATGAAGAAGCTAGAAAAATTGCTGAAGAAGGACAGTTACTTGCAAGAGAATTATTGCAGCCTCACAGACGTTATTGCTACCATTACAGCGTGTTCCAGGTTAGTACAGTACATCCTTTGGTTCTCCTTCCCTCCAGCTGCTACTATTTTTAACCCTTTAAACTTCCACTTGGTGTGTACAACTTGACAGACATTGTTCATGATCCATAGTTTACAAGGATCTGTCTGTAGAACTCTGGGCAGAATTTACCTGGTTATTCCAGTGAGGCAGACTAAATTACCATGAGTCCTACAGGGATAGAGATATTGTGATTTCTTTTTTCCTCCATCTGGTTTGTTTTCAGTATTAAGCAGTACTTTGCTTCCGGTGGAGACAGGGCATAATCATCCATAGTCTTTGCCAGGGTGTCAGTGCAAGCAATTTGTGCAGCAGCATGGAGAAATAGTAATATTCCTTTTTTTTCAAAAAGTAGAACTCTAATATGATTCAAACCCTCTAGTCTCTCATTCCTTTGCTATTCTGCCATATAGAGCCGGATCTTGGCTTCAGCATACATTGCATGCATGGACCAATGACACAGCATTTTGGACAGTACAGTATGCAAAATGGCAGTGTTATTTGACCATATTTGAAGCTGGCATTTAATAATAGGCCATAAGGAAGTTCTAAAGGCAACTTGGTTTATTTGGAAGTGTGGCAAAGAAAGCCTGGTAAACAGACTGTAAATGACATACAGAGAACTGGATGAAGGGAGGTTTGAGTGTGGAAGGGAGTAGGACTATTCTGTTGCAAGAGTAACATGTTGGTTTCAGCTTTCCTAAATGCTGTTTACGAATTTCAGAAATATGCCAAACGCCAAGCCAGCAAACCTGAAATACAGGATGGAATGGAGCTTGTTGCTCACCCTGATGACAGAGACTCCGTGTGCAACTACCACCGGAAAAAGCCTCCAAGGGAAGATCTGTAACAGTACCAGGTGGAGAAAAAAAACAAAAAACACACACACATCTGCCTTGTGATGCAGAAGTTTAAATAATAAAAAAAAAAGCTGTGAAATTCAGGACATACTTGTGCAGTGGGAAAGCATTATTGGTTAAGTATTCTTATTGTATTTATATGTCTCTTTTTTTTTTTTAACTCTGGCTATACTAGCTACGGAAATCTTTCCAAAGTTAAATGCTCCTTTAGAAGAATGTGCACTAAAAACACCAAAACAGAATACATTAGGATTAGGATTTCTCCTTCAGCTCATCTGCTTTACATCACTGAAGTCTTTTTGCAGATAAACTTAAATTAATTTACCAGAGTATTAAGATGATTACTGTGGGTACAATATATTTGTGGAACTACAGATGGAAAATTAATAATTTTACCATACAATTTACGAATCTGATATTGCTATCACATGGTCATTTTGTAGCCTGTGTTAGATTTAATTCTGCTCCCCATTCATTTCCTAGTGGCCAGCTGTTCATATCAGGGCACGGATTGGAGGGAAGAAAAAGATGACAGTAATATTCGTCTATGCTCCATTGATAAAGCTCTACATGCGAGTTATCCAAACAAGTGCCACTCACAGTCATAAGAGACTAGACTGACAAAAGCACTTGGGCACTTGAGCAGAATTCTGGGTGCCAGCAGCTTAGGTATCAGTGAATCTGCAGACACCTAAGCTTTTTGCCAATAAAATTCTCAATTACTACTGTGCTGTTCACCACCTATGACAGTGTTTCTCAACCTTTTTTAAAGGTGCAAGGTCCCGACACAAAATACCAGCTCTTGGCTATCTCTATTTTCACTACCAAAAAATACTAGAGCAATTTTTCTCTTGCAAAGAAGTCAGAAAGTGTTAAAATCATTCTGACCTGTTGCAGCCTATGGATTCTTATTTGAAATCTCTGGGTATATCTTATGAAGCATGTTTGCACACTTAGCAGTGCTAATATTGCATAGCATGGCACCTCATTGCATCTTTGAAAGGATCTCAAGCCACCCGTGGTACTGCGCTACCCTTGTTTAGGCTTGGGTGGTACTTAATCCTGGGCTTCTCAAACTAGGCATCAATACACTGGAGTTCCCAGAGGTGTGCGATATGATAAGTGCATGCAGAGGACGTGCAAGACAGGCTGACAGGACTGAGATTAGCATGAATCACAGAAGCCACAAACACTCATTCAAATGTGGCCTGTGGAGGGAGATGGTGCTTGTGCTCAGCTCTTACTAAATAGCTTGGTGGCTTCAGTACTTACCCAGGAAACAAGAAGCCTTGGTTCTAGACCTTCCTCAGCCTATAGGGGAGTTCAGACCTCTCTAGATAGTGGCACGTGATGGATCTGGGCCACTGTTCAGCTAGGAATGTAAGATTCATGAAGACAGAAAGCAAAGAAGGAACACAACTAGCCCAGTTATGAAAACACTCCCCTAGGCAGGGGAGGACTTGATCACAAAACTGTTTCTTTTTTATTTTCCCATCCAATGGCTGCTTAAAGCAGTGGTGCTCAACCTATGGCCCACAGGCTGGATTCTGCCCATGACATGGGGGATCAGCAGCAAGCCCATGCTGCTGACCCCCTCCAAAGTCCCGCCTCTTCTCTCCCTTTCACCTTGCCCACAGCAGGCACTGTTTATTCTCTCTCTGCCCTTCCCCACCCCCAACTCCTATAGACAGGTGATGGTGAGGTAAGCTGTCTTTCCTCCCCTATGACAGGTGCTGTTTACAGAAGATAAGCTCTCTTCCTCTCCCTCTGACACTGGCAGCCACTTACTTCCCCTGTCTGTCTCCCCCTGTTCCCTAGCTTGGGGAGGGGGTGACAGCCCATGGTGCAGGTAGGTTGCAAACACACAGCCTATAGCAAAATTGAGGTTCCAGGGGCAGCCGTGCTGCCCTCTGGTGACCACGCAACCGCCTGCCCTGCTCCAGCTGTAGGGTACCCTCTCCTGGCTCATCACACCCTGATGTATTCTTTGGATGATGGGGAGGGAGGCTATCTGAGGTTCTTAGAATGAACTCAGTCCTCCTGACAGCCAGCACGGCCCTCCTGGACCTTGCTGGTCTCAGTTCTACCTCTCTCAGGCTAGTCGGCCCTCCTGACCTTCCAATCAGGAACCCCAGCCAAATGTAGGGGTTTCTCCTTTGTGTCTGATGGCTGGTTTCCAGGGCAGTTTGTGATTGCTGCCCTAGCAGCACCGCTACTGCCCATGTTAGGCTCTGCTCTGCTGTCTTATTGCGTAGTTGCTAGGTTTGCAACAGGCAGTTCTAAGCAGAGTTCTGACCAGGCTGCAAGTCTCTGCCCCTTTATTCCAATGAGCAGCTCCCTGCCTAGGCAGCAATGTATAGCCACTGCCTACCTTCTTGTATGTGGCTATATTCTGCTGGCTAGGCTCTACCAGCTGCAGTTTCCTTAAAGCAGGGGTGGGCACTTATTTCAGGCAGAGGTCCACTTACTGAGTTTTGGCAAGCCACTGAGGGCTGCGTGACAGGGAGCCAGGGGCAGATAAATATTAAATTTCTAAACTTTTTAGGGGCCCCACAGGCCAGACAGAATGGCCTGGTGGGCCGCTTCTGATCCGCAAGCTGTATTTTGTCCACACTTGCCTTAAAGTAACAGGAACCCAGGCTCCCTGTTACACAGCCCACTGCTCCGAGAGGGTGAGTTTCATCGGCTTAAAGCAAACTGTATAGGTAGACCTGGGAGCGGCTGCCAGAATTCAGGTCTCTCCTCTCTGAAGAGGGCTGGGCAGAATGTCACGCTAATCCACCTCTACAGCTTCTGATAGCTGGAGCCAGTTTACAAGCTCTAAATCCTGATTTATTAGAATAATAATAAATAAGGTGACATGCTAATACAGCATGCCCTTATAGAAGTGTATCAGTTCTTGGGTTTCTGTTCTTAAAGTGTGCTGGTTGGGCACCGCTGATTGAAGGTATCTCTAGAATGACAGTTTTTGCATCTGGGTTAGCACTTCTGAGCTCTCTATAATTAAATTCCACCTATATTTAAGTAACCACATTTTAAAAATATTTTTCGTCAAACTGTTTTATTCTTGCGTGCCTGGAAAGAAAAACTTAGCAAGGTGACCTAACTGTCAGGTTATTGGCTATTTCAGGTTCAGTTCCCAGTCTCTTCTGGAGCTATTCCACTCTGAATAAATAATTAAATATTATTCTGGGAAAAGGGAGGCAGTATCTGGGCAATCAATTGCCTGTTGGGCACCTAATCCCTGTCCCTTTTCTGTGTTTCCTTTCAGACTAGTTTAGGCAGTTAGTTTCAGAGAATCTCTTTCCTAGGCCTCTCCCCATACATTAGATGCATGCGTGTCTAATTGAAGGTTACAGATACCACTGCGATTCTGTTTTGGGCTGTGTGTATCCAGAAGCCTGGTGCTGCAAAGCTGGGTGTTGATCTAGTCCTTAGTGCTATTATATGTTTAATTTCAGTTCACAAAACTCACAACTTTTAGAATAATAGTGATGAGGAAGGCAGCAAAGAGCGGTTTCATCACTCTACAAAGAACATCAGGGGTCTTGACAGATTAACATAGCTATCTGCAAATCACATGCAGATATATTTATGTGCAGGTATATTTATTGCCCCTTTTATATTGTTTCATACTAGGCTACATTACTATAGCCTACTGTCAGGAAATGACTCCTGCTGCATGTGTATGAATCCACCTTTACCAGATGACTCAGTGAATTTTGGCCACTCTGCGCAGCATTGTCAGCCTACCTTGCATTTGTATTCAGCGCTAGATCAAAGGATGATACCTCAGTGATATTTATTGCTTGGTACATTACAGGAATTGTTTACAAAATTACTGTGCTCAAGTGATTTTTCTTTTTTTTTTTTTTGCAACACTTTTATTGAAATGAGGCAATAGGTCTCAGGTTGTGAACACACAACAGCAGCTCTACCCAGCACAGGCTACCAGGCCACTGAAGCTTTCCTGATGCAGGTGTACACCAAGCTTTCAGGTCTGCCTCACCAGCAGGCTGGTTTGAAGATGGGCTGCCATGGGGACTGGATAGGAAGGCTGCACAGGAGCAGGTGAGCTGGCACAGACCAGAGGGGATAGTGCAGCTAAATGAACAGCTCTACAGATAAGTGGGCAGGTCCTTCTTGATCACATAGGGATCCTTCATCGTCATTTTATTGCTTTTCCTAGGTGCCTCTGCCTTTGGGCTGCTCCTGCAGCCACTTCTACAAAGGCAGGGTGTTGTCCCCATAGACTTCAATCTTCAATCTTCAATCTGAATATGTATGTCAACCTTCACTCCATAGTTTGCAACAAAGGCTTTGATCTGGGCATTATTCCCTGGTTACTGTTTCTTGAACTGGTTGCAGGGGAAGGCCAGGATGCGTAAACACCTCTCGGTCTATGTGGCATACATATCAACAAGCTGAGTGTAGTTTATATCAGTTTTGTCTCATTTTGAAGCTACACTGGTGATGATGCAGGCATAACCCCGGTACTTTTCCAGTGAAACATGGCTGCCATCGAAGTCCTTGGCATGTGATTCATAGATGGATTTGGCAGAGCACTTGTAGTCCAGCTGCGCACACATGCTCCTGCCAAAGCACCGTACCATGACCACTCTGCACAGCAGTGTCCACTTCACTAGGCAACCCCAATTCATCACACCATGACCCTGTCTTGCTGCTCAATGTTTTAGCGCCCGAGCTTGGATGAGTGGTACAAGCCAGTCCCTATATGGGATAGGGAGTCTCTTCTCCCTTACATTTAAATAAAACTAATTCTATCTAGATCATTGGAGCTAACTAATGTATGTGAAAAGAGAAACGGGTTGTAAAGATAATACTGAGGGTAGTGTTACAGTTACCTTTAAATCATTCTAAAGGCATTTAAAACAGAAGTGTCTGGACATTAAACAGTACTAATACAATAAGAGGGTACTTAGCACAGTTTCAAGTGAAATTAAGCTTTGAATGATCATACCAGATGGATTAAACCAGCAGGGTGTTTTCACATTTCAAAAGTCCAAAAAAGAAATATCTGCATAAAAATAATTCTTGAGGCTTGGGTTTCTCTGTGAATGCTTTTGTAGAAAAACATTTTACCTTGTATTGAAAAAAACTATTAGGAAAATGTTAAATATTAAATGAGTAGGACTGGGCCTTTAATAATTTTATCTCATAATCTTTCCTTCAAAAGCTTCCTGTCAAAATTGCCTTTACTTCAAAAATAAGTATCACCATAAAGAGAAAATTCTATTTTGTCATATTATTTGGTATATTCCTGTTACATTGAGCTGACAAAACCGTAAGAGAAAGTGATGAAGGCCTTTCAGCATTTGAGCAAATCTAGTACAGTTGATAAGTGCAGACCTTGCAAAGAGAAAAGAAAATGACAAAGTGACACCTTTCTGGTTCCTGGTGCTGGTACTATATGC